TAGGATTCTCATAGGGGGGCATGGTTGGGTGCCCCCGCTTTCTCAGTTTCCGCCTTGTCACCCTCAGAGAGGGCGGACTTGAATTTCTCAGTTCGTGGCTCTGCCCCAGACTGAGGCTTCCCCTTTGTCTGGCTGCGTGTTCTCTCCGCCCCTGCCAACTGGGTGGGCGTGACCATGATGTCCACGACCTCCTCCTGTTGACTAGTGTGCTGCAGAAGGCGGGACAGGGTGTCAGCCAGGCAATTTTACCTCCTCTGGATGTGTTTGAGGGTGAAATGAAACTTAGAGAAGAACACCCACCCACCACAACCGCTTTGCGTTTAGGCGCCTAGGAGCTTTGAGGGCCCCCAAGTTTTTGTGGTCGGTCCAGCCTTCAGACGGAACTTGGGCCCCCTCCAGCCAATGCCTCCAGGGGGTGGTTAGCACCAGCTTGATGGCTGCCACTTCTTTGTCCCACAGCACCCAATTCCTCTCCGTGCTGGAAAGCGTTTTAGACACACAGGCCAGTGGATGCAAGTTCCCGACCTCCCCCCTTTGTAGGATCGCTCCCCCCATAGGGACATCAGATGCATCCACTTGCACCACAAATTGCTTAGTCTTGTCGGGGTGGCTCCAAAGTGAACAGGGTCTTTAAGCGTTCAAACACCTGCTGGCACTCGGGAGACCGCACTAAGCGACTGCTTGCCTTCCGCCATTTGGGCGCTTTCCCCTTCATTTTCAGGAGGTTGGTGAGGGGTAGGGTGACCTGAGTGAAACTGGGGGTGAATGAGCAGTAGAAACTGGCAAATCGCACAAGTTGGCATTGCGCAAGTCAAGTTTGGTGAAAATCCGGCCCTGCGTGGCATCGGCTAGCAATGAGGGGGAGGGGGTACGCATTTGACATGGATACTGCATTCAGCCCAATGTAGTCTGTGCACAGTCTTAACCCCCCATCTTTGTGGCATTGGGGCAGCAAACAGTGTGCTGCAGAAGTGTGCTGCTGGCCAGTGTGCTGCTGGCCAGATGAAGCCCCGGGCTAATTTCTTGTCAATGAACCTCTGCAGCTCCTCCTTTTCAGCTGGGCTCATCGAATAAAGTTTTCCTTTAGGCATTTTATGACCCGGTAAAATCTCACTCAATGGCACAGTCAGTTTTACGGTGAGGAGGTAACTCATCTACCTCTCCTTCCTCAAAGACCCGGGCCAAGTCTTGGTACTCAGCCGGGATGAGATTCATTTGGTCCTATGCCAGACAGATGCCTTTGGCTATGGGATGGGGCTCCTACCCCCATGCTGGGTTCCAAAGATGCTCTTTGCATCGAGGGTCTAAGAAAGTCAAAGTCCCAGCACTCCACTGGACATGCAGATCGTGGGCCTGGAGCCAGGGGCTGCCTAGTACCACCGGGAATTTCGCGGATGGGTTCACTATGAACGAACCTCGTTCCCAATGGGAGGCCACCCCCTCCGGCAGGCGGACTGTACGGTACTGGCAGGCCTCCCCCCTCATTGGGGTCCCATCCGTGTGGGGAAACACTACGGGCTCCTTTAACTTGTGCACCTCCGCCCCCAATCCTGTAACCATGGCAGGGCTGATTAAGTCCCGAGTGCGTCTCAGGTCTATCAGAGCCCTGCCCCTAATGTGCACTCCAGGGTTGATTATTGTTACAGTCAAACAGAGGAGAGGGGAGGAGGGTCTCACTGAGTCTTGCGCCAGAGACGTTCGGACCTGCTGGCGCTTCACAGCGGGTCCCGGCCTTTTCCTGCCAACTGCGGCAGGTCACACTCGCCGGACGGGGTGCCTTCCACGGAGCCTCTTGCCCCTGCCTGTAGGGCTTTAGGAGTCTTGGGCCGCTTCCCCCGGGGTGTTTGGTCTCCTTTTGCTTTCTTCTTGTCACTCCTTTTCTGGGCTCTTGCCCCCGAGGCAGTTTGCAGCGAAGTGCCCCGGCGCTCCACATCTCAGGCACAGCCCTAAGCACATGTGATGCTCACAGTCTCCCCCAGGCATTGGTCCCCAACCCCGGAATGGTTTCTGGCCCCCAGTGGCCCTCCCAGGGGTCTTGTGCGGGCACAGCCACACCAGGTTGCATCTGTCTCGGCTTCACAGGCCACCTGGCTCCAGCCACTCAGTGTTAGCGGGTTGTCTTGGGCCAGAGCCTTCTGTAGGATCATGGCGTTCAACCCTGCGTGGTAGGACGCGTCGGGCCATCCTTGCAACTTGGCCGCATACGTCTTAAACTTGATCTGAGTATTCTTGCACCGACTGGCCCCCTTGCCGTAGGCCTCGGAGGCAGGTACATGCCTTCTCCAGCTCCACTGGGTCTTCGAACTGCCCTCTTTAGTGCTTGCAGGAACGCATCCATGTTGCAGAGTTCAGGAGCCCCAATGTTGTACAGCCCCACAAACCAATCTGTTGCTCGTTCTCATAGTCGCGACCTCACAGAATCCACCTGGTGCTCGTCGGAGGTGCAGGTGTGCCCCCACTCTCTCAGGAACTTCAACACCTGAATTACAAAGAATGCCAGCTTCTCAGGGCTGCCATCCAACGTCGCTTCCAGGGCATCTCGGGGTGGCTCCCGGTCCTGCCGGGGCCCTGGCAGGGGTCCTGCAGCCTGGTCAGGGGGTCACTGGCCAGGGGCTTCCTCAGCCTCCTCTTCCTCGGAGACCTCTCCCTCTTGCTCCCTCTTGCTCCGCGGGGAATCTAATTCCATCTGTGATCTCTTCCATCTCCCCTTTGGGCCCTGCTTGCACCCGATTGATGTGCGATGCTTCTCCCAGTGATTCAGCAACCGGCGGGAGGGTCCACCTCCCCTCTTGCTCCGGGCGGGGCTTTCGCTCCCTGGAGTGCTCCGGAGCCAGGCCGAGTCGTCCCATTGGTTGCGTTTGGCCTTGGCACCCTTCAGTCATGGCGTGCTCCTTGGGTCCAGGGCCAGTTGGCTTCTCTTCCGTCTTGTCAGGGGTTGTGATTGGGAACTCGGTTCCCGAACTGGTGCCTGTCCAAATTTCTTCGCCTTCGCCAGCCATCACGGGTGTGGTGCGGTGGTCGAAGAGAGAAGAGTTCTGGCACTTTGTCAGGCCCCTGGTCAAGTTATTCTCAACAGCACTTTGGCAGTGATATGCTTATTAAGCAAGATCCAGGTGATAACGGTACCGTGTCAGAACTGAAGGTTTTAGCGGGTACAATCACAGATACAGGTAATTCAGGTGAAACCCCTCCTATTGGCCACTCGTGCGTTACACCCATCCCGCCTAGACACAGTGTTCCTACCCTAACCCTTCACCTGGGAAATAGACAGTCCCATTCTCTCTACATAGGCAAGCCGGCACCAAAAGTTTCAAGGACCTCTGGGAGAGGAAGGCTTCTTTGGAAGAGTTACGGCCTCTAAAATCTAAAAGCGCAGTCACACACCCCATGCTCGTTCCCCACCACCACCACCTAAGGAATTCCCTCCCCCCTGCATTCATGACAAACTGAGCAGAGAAATGTTTGACAAGTCACTCTCCTAAAATGGAATTTGTCTTTCCCCCCTTCGGAGTGCATGGGGTTAAAATGGGGAGTGCCCAAGATCTCTTTCTGGCTAGTCGACAGAGTCCCCCTCAGCATATCTGTGAAATGAGATATGCTTCGCTTTGCACTTATTTTTGCTGAATCTCATTTGCCATTCTCTCTCCTGGTTTGGATAGATTCTCTTAAAATCCTGCTTGAATTTCACCATCTGCAATAATTCCGCATGATCTGCAGATTTGGCACTTTCACTGGTCGCTCCTGACTTCATATTGCTTGTAAATCATTCTCCTTTCTGTTGTGAACAGTGTCTACGCATTCCTTTTTTTAAAGAGTTCCTGATCCACAAGAGGACCTGTCCTCTCATCCCATGATCGCCACACTTTCATAATGGCCTTTCATGAGGGACCAAGAAAGATTTTGCTAGAAGGCATCATTAAATGGTTCCTGGCAGTCTCAAAGAATTCTTTTTTCTTTCCTTTTCTTGGTGAGAATTGTGTGCGTGTGCGTGTGTGCGACAGTCGCAAAGAATTCTGAAAGGTTGGTGAGGCGATATTTGCGAAAAACATGCTGATTCTTCCTGAGCCAGGCTTGTTCTTCTATGTATTTAGCAACCCTGCCCTCAGTCAAGCTTTCCACCACTTTATCGGGTACAGCAGTAAGGTATAATTTCCGGCACCTCCCCTGGTTCCTTTTTTGAAGAATGCCCTTGTATTGGCTACTTTCTAGTCCTTTTAGCATGCTGCTTATTGTGGCAGGAGGTGAATTCCCCTAAGTAGTCTTGGGCGGATTCCCGTTTGCAAGATCTGAGCAAGGCTGTCACTCGTGGGGCATTTTGGAGGCCACTCGTTCACGGGGTCTCCATGAGTCGGCACTGAGTTGGCAGCCCAGCCCACCCACGGATCGATAACTTGGTGTAGCCACTTGCTGCTAAATCTTTGCTTGGCGGGTCTCCCAGTCTTTGCCAGGGCAGCCTGAGGACAGGGAACGTCGTGGCGATGATTTCCACACCCTCTTCCTGCATTTTTTAACTCCTTGATCCTCTTGCCATCCCGCCTGGCCTCTGTCCCTGTCCCAGGTGTATTGAGTGAGCGTTCGTGACGTTTGGCAGTTTGCTCCTCAGATGCCTCCTTGCTTTGCTGTCGTGTCAGTTTGCATCATTGCTTTTGACAGAGTTTGTGGTCTCACCTTGTTCCCCCCCTGTGAGCGAGGTGACTGCTTTTCAAAGGGAGCCCCCTCCTTGTCTCTGCTTCCTACCATTGGCCATGTTTGGACCGGTTTGTGCTCCTCCTGACCTGTGGTATGTGTTTTATCCAATCTTCGATTGTCTTCATTTCCTCCCCAAGTGGCTGGACAAACCCTCCCTCTCGGACAAGAGCCCCGCCCCGCTGCCCCTGAGTGAGTCGGTCAGTTGTCAGTTCCATGAGGCTGGTGTTGTGTCTAGATTATTGCGGTCTCCTTGTAATCAGTTGGTACAGCTGACGATGCTCCTCTTTCTGTCTTTCTTTCTTTCTTTGCAGGCTCTGTATAGTTCCATCAAGAATGAGAAGCTGCAGTGGGCCATGTGAGTACCTCCCCTTCACCTTCTCTTTTGCACTTGGATGCGTTCCTTGGTGGGCTAGATCCAAGGCAGTCGCTGGCAGCAGTAGAATCCTATGCCTGAACTAATCTTCTGCAGGCCAGAAAACGGTGTGAGATCAAAACAGCTAGCTGGGGGCAGAATGGGAACTGAAGCCCCCCAATGCCGCCACCCCCACCCCCGGTCTCCATTAACATGGGAATGTGCTGTAGGCGGATGCAGGTGATTCTTTCTGTGCCGTTCCTGTTGCTCAAACAAACCACCACTCTGGGGTTTCTTATGAGTCTTCTGGGGCCAAAGGAGGTGTGGTGTGAACACACGTGGAGCTGTCTGGGGCGGCATCAGACCCTCGGTCCGTCAAAGTTGGTGCTGTCTGCTCAGATGGGCCGTGGCTCTTCCGGTCTTAGGCAGAGGTCTTTCCCATCATCTGCTGCAAGGTTCTTTTAACTAGGAGGCTGAAGTTGGTTCCTTATTCGCACTTCCTTATTCATTCCTTATTCATTACTTATTCGTGTAGTCATTCAGAGACACTAAGGAGAGTGAGTTTGAAAGCTCTGAACCCCAAAATAAGGTCTGGACCACCACATATCATATGCCCTCACATTCACAGGACTCTCCCCTTCGAGGGGACATATGCGGTGTGCTGGTCCAAAGCGCGGTTCCGGTGCCAGCTGCTCCAAAGTGCAGTGCCCCTAGGACAATCACACAAGCAGACACTGGGGCCAGGCTGCACCCCAAAATAATCTTTGGACCACCCCAAAGGACCCATCCCCACACTCTGGAGACTGTGCCCTGCAAGGTGACATAAAGTGATGCCCGGTCCAAATACCAGTTCTGATGCCACAAGCTTCTGTTTGTAGGGCAGTCTGGCCCCAGTGTCTGCCTGTCTGTGTGTCCTGGGGTCACTGCACTTTGGAGCAACTGGTACCAGAACCATATTTCAAAAGTATAAATTCGGGGAGAAATGTCAAAATATGATTGAGGCAATATATACTAAGTCTAAGGCGATGGTAGGAGTTAGTGGAGTAGCAGAGGGGTATGTCCAAGTAATGAGTGGTACGAAACAGGGTTGCCCACTATCCCCCATGTTATTTATTTTGGCATTGGAACCGTTGGTGCTTAATTTAAAAAAGAATGAAGGAATAATAGGGTTTGAAGTTCCAGGAAAAGGGAAAGTAGATGGGAATCTTTTAACATTGTATGCAGATGATATGATGGTGACAATTAAGGGTTTGGAGTCTGCAACGGCACCGTTAAAAAAAGGTATTACAGGAATTTGAAGAGGTGTCAGGGTTAAAAGTGAATTTTTCAAAATCCTCAATGATGTGTTTTAATGTTAAGCCGAAAATACAATTAGTGGCTTCTAAGTAATGTAATGTAATAGCCTTAACTGAATATATATATATATATACACACACACATAACAGATATACATACATACATATATATATACATCTATATATCTAATAGTGAAGTTGCCCCCGGAGTGCGGATCGCTAAATCAGCGCTCCGGGGGCAGCTGGGGGGCCGGGGGAGGTTTGGGCACACGGCCCAGTCCCCACGTGTGCACAAAAATAAAAAAAGTTGGGAAAAAATTCGGGGGGATGTTTAAATCCCCCCGAAAGTGACAGAGCGTCCCCTGCGCATGCGCAGGGAACGCTCTGTAGCTGGCCTCGCCGCCGCGCCGCCGCCGCCTCCTCCTCTGAGCCGGGCGGGCGGGGGGGAGGACTGGCTTCGCCTTCGCCGCCGCTGCCGCCTTGTCTTTGGAGCCGGCAGGTAGGCCGGCTGGCCGA